ACACAGGCCTGCTGCTACAAGTCTGTTGCTACAATTTTGATAAATCTCTTGAGAACATAATCAAATAGAAGAGGGAGTTGAAAGCACAGAGTGGTGTCAACTTTACTAATCACAAAAGGAACATGACAAAATTTATCTCTCACATTCAAACAGACACTCATATCTCACTTTCCCCAAATTCCCCATTATTGTGAGAGAATAAAAGAATCATAAAAGTATGCAGTAGGCTATAAGATACAATTACAAAATACAGAGCTGGGTAATAACACTACTTACATAGCACTGATAAGGAGATTGTCCAAACTTAGCCTTCACTCATAGTTGGATGACAGATCTTCCTAAGCCATCTACAAGCCACAACAGCATACATCTATCATTCCACCAGCAGTATTGCTGTAGCCCTGGTTTCCTAAAGAGTCTTTATATGGTGGTGTGCTGTGCTAAAGTGAAATTAATTAGCTAGGAAGAGCTTCTCCTGTGGGGTGCCACTGTTTTACACGTATGCCAAGTTCCTGATCTCCTTAACCCTAGGATTTATTATATAGGGTCTGTAATAGTCAGAGCTAGCTACGAGATCCATCATGGCCATTGCAAGCAGACCTCAATGTTTGATGACACCATTATTTTCTCTGTTTGAGACAATGTGAACAAGGATGGGAAGCACTATATAGAATCAACACTCACTAGCCTCTCTAAACTAAGAACTCTGAGAGAGACTGGTGGCACAATCCAGTCAGTTGCTACATAGATGTAAGTAGAACTCTGCCAGGAAGAGCTAACTGGGTCATGGGCTCTCTGATGGCAGCTATAAAACATGGGTGTTCTTGGGCAGACAATCAATACATGTACTATGACCAGGATAGCAAATGACAGCACTTGGAGTACTGCCACTGCAGCCAGAGAATGTGTCAAACATTGGTCTAAGTTTCAGACTCCAGACATAGTGGAGGGGCAGATGTTCAGTGGCACCTGGTGTCAGACTAGGGGAGTCAGTTGTATGCTACATTTGGAGGAAGCAATTTAAAGCCCTTCATTCTGTCTCCATATTACTCTTAAAGATGAGCAGGCACATAGACTATATTAATGGGGCATTTTAGGAGTACCTTGAATGATATGCTTTTTATTGAAATTACACTGGTCTTTGTACCTATCAATGTCAAATACAATTTAACCAAAAGAATACTTAATACCTCTAGAGCTAGGACCAGGAGTATACTTTGATGTCCGCTCCCCCACAAATGATGTTGGGAACTTCCCTGCCTGGTTTCAGAAGCTGTAATCCCCATGGCTAAGGCCAACTAAGTAAAGAGACCTTGGTACCATAAGCCACTAAGGAGACAAAGCTTATCTCCTTGGCAGGGGCACAGCCTCTGTCCCCTTTACTTCACCCTACTTGGCCCCAGGTGGATGATTGGTTAGCCAATGACAGATAAGATTCCTCAAGGGAGGGATGAACTAAGACAGGCATGGTCATGAAGGGACCCCCAGGGAAGCACTTAGGGGGCTATAGAAAAAGGGAGTGATGGATACTCACCCCTTGGCTTTGACATAGCGTGAGTCTTCATTCTGTCTGCAAGAAATCTCCTAATCTCTTGGCTGCCTTACTTCCCCTGCCTGACTTAAGCCTGAAACAATGTCAGAGGGTGGTGCAGCCCTGGGCAGGAACAGGCAGTTCCACAGGGCAATCAGGCCTAAGAAAAAATGCATAACATCCTATAAAACTTGCTTTGCTAAGAATGTACTCAATTTTCTGATAAGGGTCCAAGCATGAAATGAGTTTGTTTCTCAAAGTTGTATGGCCCTTTAGCTAACTGACCCTGACTCAGAATAAGCCCTCATAGTTCTTTGAATGTTATCTATTATTTGATCATTACTGCCTGACAATGATGAATGAAGACCTTCCTTGAGGTAATGCTCCCAGAAAAGCAATAAAAGCCTGTCCAGGCAAGGGTCATGGTGCTTTCTCTCTCAGAGAGTGGCCGTACCATCCCTTTTCTCCACAAGACTTCTACAGTCCATTGGATTTTGTTCATCTCATTCACAACATATGGACCCCGCTGTATGGAGTCCGCATCAAATGGTATTAAGGAACTTGATAGTATATAACTAGCACTGGGAGAAGACATCCACTGAGCATTTGTTTTACCCTTCTGAAAACCTGAAGTCCTATGTTAGACATATGTTAACCACCATTTATATTGGAAACTGGAAGACTGATGTGTGGCAATATTCTTAAGATGCTCTCATTTCCATGGCAAAGCCTTTATGCTCTTTTGTTACCTTTCTAAAAACAGGGACACTCCATAGGAAAACTAAACTGCAATGAGATAAGCTACACTATTTCAAGACCTTGGATTAGACTCAAGTATCTTGGTAAGGTCTATGTATCTCCTTCTCTTTCTCTGCCCTATTCACTGCTGAGGTAAGTCCTGTTTGTTGCCTATCCAATATCCATTCTTTCTTTCTTTCTTAGTAACAGAGCTCTGATTTAATTGGGGTCATGGGAATCATGAGCTAAGGTGAAAGGCCACATTGCTAAGAGTCCCTTGCAACTGGATATGGTTAAATGACTCAATTGCATTCAATCACATGAAATAATAAATTGTTGAATGGCACTTCCCAGAAAACTCCCCAACAAGTAGCTGGATGAGCCATCCTGGCCTTTTCCAACATTTCCTGTCATCACCTTCCTTCTACTTGCCAACTGGGATTCGGACAAGATGTCTAGATCATAGCAGTCATCCTTAACTACAAGGCAGATGTGAGGATGAAAGCCAGCATATTTTGTCAGGATGGAAGCCAGAGACAAGAATGGTAGAGCAAAAAATAAAAAAAAAAATACATACATACATACATACATATATAATACATAAATACATAAATAAATAAAATGAAAAATAAAGTAAAATGAGAGATATTGATCTATTATAACTGTGGAGTTACCATATGATCCCCAGAATCCTTTTACATAAGAGAGGAGCTGAGCTTTGTCTTATTTGCACAACTACTGAGTATTCTGTTTTATATAATTAAAGCTAATCCTAATTGGCATATTTCCTTGCACACTATATATTTTGTATGTGTCTGAGGCTCATTAAAATGGATACAGGGAAAAGAATGTCTATAGGTATAAAAGTCTGCATAAGCCTGGGAAATAAGGAGAAGGATCTTTATTGCTAATGCCAAAAGAGAAATGGATTCTGTTGTTCCAATAGTAAGACAAGATAATCTCCAAGGATTTTATGGAGTGTAGACTATTATAAAAATAAGTGGTAATTAGGAGAAACCAAAGGCTACTACTAGGTTAATGCATTAGAATTTGATAAGAGAGAAGTATTTAAACTTTTAAAATACATAATTATATATAAATTAATTTTCAAAAGCAAACAAGCCAACTAAAAATGAGACAAAATTGAGAACAGCCATTTCACAGAAACACAAATGGCCACCAAGCATATGTAAAGAGGTACAACTCCATTAGCAAGAAGAGAAATGAAAATTAAAAGAGGTTATTTACAGTCAAAAGTTTTGAATCTAACCATTGCAGGTATTATAATGATGGGCCAGCTTAATGATATGTAATGGATTTTTGTATAGGTAAATCTCAAAAACCTCAATGTGTAGTGAAAAATGAAGACTTTGATGCATTATATAAAATACAACACCAGAATGTAACTATATTTTAATGGAATCATACATATATAACTATTTTGCAAGAAAAAAATAAGGAAATGACTCATAAAATTCAGATAATGTTATTTCTGAGTGGGAGAGATATACTTTAGGAAAGGCCTTCTTATAAAGCTTCAAAAATATTGGTGTTTTTTTGCATCTTCAGCTCTGTAGTGTACCTGGATATTCTTTTTATTACTGTTATTTAAATATGCAACTATGGGATGTATTTATATATGCATATTTCACAATTAAAAATTTTTAAAAATTCAGTCAGGTTTTAAAAAGAGCAAATTGAGTAATCATAAAGTTCTAGACTGTGAATCAAGATTTCCTTGTTACTATGTAACCAACAAAATAGAGAATTCTCTTGGCTTCTGAGGCTGATGTAAGATGGAACCTTCAGCTGTAACCTCTATTTTAAACGTTCTTGTTCTTCACACCTGCCTCCCTGTTTTCAATTATTTCTGCAAGTATTTCAGTACGAAGGTGATTTTATATAATACTTTGCAAATTAAATGTCATCTTTATCCATCTACTTTGGTTTTGCAAGTCAAGTTTCCATTTTAAAAAAAGCAATGCTGTTCTTTAAAAAGTTTGAAAACAACCAGTGTACTCGAATTAAATCCAAATTTTGAACACCTGTTAAATCATCTGTCTGTTACTAGTAAGAGCTTCCCAGTGGACCCGTTTCTAAGAGAGGGGAGTCATCACCTATCAAGGAAAAAGAAGACTGGACGCCAGCCCAACTGTACTCCGCCCCTTTTCCCTACTAGATCAGGAAGCTTGGGAAAGCTCTACAGTCTTTCAACCACTCCCCCGGCCCCCACAGTCTCCAAAATCCTCGGCTTCTGTCGAGGGAACCAGAGCCCCGCCCACTAGTAAGCCCCGCCCCCAGGCCTAATAGCTGTGCGAGCGCACTTTAGGAGGAGGGGTTAGCTGTACTCGCAGCTCGCAGGCGGTGGGTCCTCTGTCCTTATCCCCATTCTGTACGTGAGTCTTAGCAGAAGACTCTTTGCTGGTGGCCGGATTCCCACACACTGGTGAGTAACCTGCGGGGGGAGTCGGGCCTCCAGACCAGGCTGCGGAGGCGAAGGGCCCACTGCCGGCGCTTGCGCGCTGGTCCGCTGGTCCCGGTCCGCCAGCCAGCCAGCCAATCTGCTCTCCGCTCCCGCCCACGGCCTTTGACCCTGCTCCCTGGTGCCAGCCCTCCGAGGTGGCGAGCTGCGGTTCTCCGCGTATTGGGCCACCCGGTTCCCACACTGTTACCCCGTATTTTTTGTCTGGGCTAGTTTTATTGCCTTCTACCTAACTTTATTCCAACCGCCACTTTGGAATGGAACCTCCTCCCCGCACCTCGGTTTTCCCCTCCTCGCCCCAGCAAATTCTGGCAGTGACTGAAGCCTTTCCACACCGTGTTCCTTTATCCTCACACCTGCAGCCTGGTCTTGAGCCTGTGGGGAGAGTGGAAGGACCTAGGCCTACCGGCTCGGGTGCAGCGGAAAGGTGGCGGTTGCCTTTATCCCGGTGCCTTTAGGCGTCAGCAGAGGAGAGCAAGGATGGCGAGGCCCCATCGAGATGGTTTTTCCATTCCCCTGTTAACTATTCGGTATTGTCATCATAGACTTATCTTTTGCTAAGTCTCAAAATGCAACTATGCTGGACTAGTTTTTTTTCCATTTTCCAAAGGAGCAAGTTGAAGTTCAGGCAGTTACGATTGTTTTGGTTTCATTATTGCAAAACCCTACGGATAGCTGTTAAAGGAAACTGTACAAGTGCTTTAAAAAAAGGGAGGACAATGTTATATGAACTTAAAAAAAGGAAAATGGGCCTGAAATGGGTTGTGTTAACGTATTTAGACAATAGTCTGAAAGAAAAATAATAAAGTTTAAAGATTGGTAATAGTAAGTCGCATTGCCAATCATTTTCATGATTATATATTACTCCATTCATATTAAGCTATATGTAAACTCTAAAAAATTGGTGGAGTGCAGTGAATCTTGAGACTTTCAGGCTCCCGCATAAAACATTAGTCACGTGATGAATATTAAGTGTATGATCAGAAAATAAGCTGTTTTGAGATTAAATTTGGGCTACGGTTTATGAGTAGGTAACATATAATCACTGTTTACTAGTCCATAATGTTTAAGTGAAAATAGGACCACGTGTTACCAGTTTTCATCTGTGTCACAAAAATTACAGTGTTATATTCTATTTAACTTGATTTGTGTGATGTATTGTGGAAAGGTGGAATGGAATAAGAGCAAAAGCTTTTAGTTCTAGAGCCAGAATTGCCCTGCTTCTTGCTAGTAGCTTAACCTCAGACAGATTACTTAACGATTGCTAGCTAATATATTTGGATAAAGTTATCAGTTGCGCTGTACCTTAGTTCCATCATCTGTAAAATGGCATTAAAAAGAATTTCTGCTTCATAGGTTGTTGTGAAGATTAAAATGGAAGGATGAGAACTTTTGTTAACCAAAAAGTACAAGTGTTTGCTTAAAACTGACCTGGGCAGGAAGCCTTACTACAGAAACTGATCTTGAAAGTTCCAGATGTGTCTTCTAGTATTAGTTCTCCAACGGCTTCTTAGAAAATAAAATTAGAAAAACAATACTAAAAACAGTAGATATCTGTATAACTTAATAATGGATACTTAAAAAGTGAAGTCTTTTTGGCTTTTCTCAGTAACAGAATAACAGCAAATACTTTTTAAATTTATTTACTAATTTCTGTATTGTATTTTTTAAATTACCATTTAGTCCCTTTATACCGCCCCCCTTGCAATCACTACACTGTTGTCCATGAGCCCTTTTTTCTTTTTGCTCATTTGCAGATACTTTTCGAAATAATAGTTGATATCATGTTGTTTTTGGATCTCTTGGAACTCATTGCACCTCCATGTCAAAAACTAGTATTTCAAAGATTAAAAGCACAAAACAACTAGAAACCATAGAACTTCAAAAGAACCTATTATACGATGTAAACTGCCTTTTGAAAATAACAATTTTCAATAGCTGATACCAGAGTAAGTTCCTGCTATGAGAAGCTATACATCTGCAATTAACTTGCTTTTTTTTTTCCTCTCTCAAGTCATTTCTGAAACTCCTTTCTTTTGTTGAGGCAAATAGGTACTGGGTTGGCCAAAAAGTTTGTGTAGTTTTTTTCTGTAAGATGGCTGTAGTAGTGCTTAGTTGTCTTTAACATCATTTGAAACAATTTTATTAGGTTGTATCATGACAGTTTTCATAAAAGCATGCATTTAAAAAAACTTAATCAAAATTGCTAAATTTTTGTGCAGCCATTTTAATATTGAAGAGGGAAGAAAATATATATTTTTGGTATATTATGCTTCATTATTTCAAGAAAGGTAAAATGCAATGCAACTGAAACAAAAAAAAGATTTGTGTAGTGCATGGAGAAGGTGCTGTGACTGATAGGACATGTCAGAAGTGGTTTGTGAAGTTTCTTGGTACTATTGACATTTTGGTCAAATAATTCTTTGCTGTGGGGCTGTCTTACCCATTGGAAGATGTTTAGCAGCTCCCCTGGCCTCTACCCTCTAGAAGCCAATAGTGGGATATAGCCAACAGAGTCAAAATATCCAAATCAATAAAGTTATTGGTGAAAATAAAAAATATGTCTTTTATTTTATGGAAAAAAACTAAACAGACTTATTGGCCAACCCAATAGTTCCTCTACTCCTTTCATGTGAAATCATTATACCTATTAGACATTTAGGGTCATTGTGGTTTTGCTATGGTGGACATGATGATTTTTATTAAAATAGAGTTTTTTTAATTGGATCTATATGTCTATAATTCTTCCTATATAATAAGTTCATTATACACTATAAACATGTTAAGTATATGTATAGTCGTAGAATCTGTCTGTACAGATACTGCCCAAATATGGGGTCTGGCAGAAGTAACACCTATTTGAGCATGGTTGCTAGGGTAGTAATATGGGTATAATAATTTTATAGTTTTAATTTGAACATTTTACCTAAAATGTCATATGGTGTGCTTGAGTGGGATATTGTTATGTTACAGAAATTACATGTTTGTGATTTTGTAATAAAAGATATTTGTGCCTGACACTGTATCTACCAATGTCAAAACCAAAGGGCCAGAAATTAAATTGTTTAAGCTGAACACTTAATGGTCACTGACTATGTATAAGAAATATTGGGCTCTTTTAGACTGTAAAGATAAGAGCTCCATTTCTGGACCTTAAGGGACAATGTAGAGGGGGATATAATACATGTAAATGAATAGCATGATGCCATACAAAAGAAAGGGATGCCAACTGAAAAAGCAGGTACTGCTATATAGAGTATATGGGAAAGTGAGTGATTTTCACTCTGGAACCATTAGAGGTACTAAGGAGAAGAGGCAACTTTTCAGTTTTGTCTTGAAGGATCAGTAGTAGTATTCTAAAAGTCATATAGAGAATAGGCATTTAGAGAGAATAAACCATGTTTTGAATGTCAGTTGTTTGCCAGACACCCACCTTTGATAGTACTCATTATCATTATAAATGTTTGCTCATATTTATTCAGTGTTTATACTAAGCCAGAATGACTCTTAAGAGTTTTATAATATTAACTTATTTTATCCTCACAAAAATCCTGTGAGTGAGGTAATAACTCATTGACAGATGAGTATAAAAAGCAGGGGAAGATCAGGACGCTTGTACAGGTGAAACAGCTAAAAAAGGACACAGCTGGAATTTGAACTCAGGCATTTGAGCTGCAGAGCCTGTACTTTTAATCACAATGATCTGCTTGCTACCTTATGATTGAGAGGACTTACTGTTATTTGAGACATGGAGGTTGGGATAGAACCAGTGGATCAGCTATAACAATGATTTTTTTTTTAGGTAAGTGAATTCAGTAATGTTAAAAAAAAGGGGCTGGGGGGCCCGTTTTAGAAATTACATTGACAGGTAAGAAGGAAAAAGGAGTCAACTTCCATAAATGGATTTTTTTTTGCATGTGTTTTATGTTTTTTATGTTTACCTGTGGATCTGAGAAGTGTATATAACAAGTATAAAAAATTTCAGAATGTTCTCTGTATTTCTTTACTTTTTATTTTTAAATCCAGTCAGTACTTACCAGTTGATTATAGCAATACCTTTTACATCTTCATTTACATACACTGCAAGTCCTCACTTATGTTAAGCAAAACAACTTATAACAAAACACATTTTACACACATAGACTAATTTATATAAATAAGACTTAAATTCCTACATCTCATCAACATTATAACAAAACAACATTTAGCAAAAACAAAGCTTCGGAGGATCTGCTATCTTGGGCAACAAAAAACTGTCACAGTCAAATCCCATGCAAAGTAATTATAGGAAAAACAGTTAACATATATGTAAACACTGAAAGCATGCCAGAGATGCAATCACAGAATATTTGACAACTAAAACCTAATATTTAAGTTGAAGTAAAAAATTAAAATAATCAGGTATGAATAAATAAGCAAATTACAAATATGAAAACTCAGAATGAGGTAATATTAATCAGAAAATAATTGTAATTGACAGAAAAATTGCTTCATAATTTTTTTATACTTGAAAACAAGAAATATCAAGAATTAATTTCTTAACAAAAAATAAAGGGTAAAGAGAAACTTCAAAATTAAAATAAAATGCAGAGGTGAAAAAGAAAGTGTAGTTATTAAAGTTTAGCAAAAATTTAATGAAAGTAGTAGGACTTTCTGTAGAAGAAAGGCAAAGCAGTGAAACAACAGATTTAAATTGCAAATTTGCTGACAATAAAGAAGTAGATGTCAACATGTTAGCTAGTTAATGGGAACACAAGGGAGTTCCTTTATGATTGTTTCTATTTTGGCTGTGAATTGTAAGACATGGCTATTTGAAGACAATAAAAGTTGGTGTAGTAGCAGGTTTGATGAAAAAAATGAGAAGAATGAAATCTTTTTAGAAAAGTGAAGATACTGGCGTATAGTAATAGGATTGTTAAGTAGTCTGGTGTGTTGGTTTGAAACTTACAGTTATGAATTAAAAATAAAAAGTCAACATGGTTGTGTGTTTTTCTCCAGTATCTTTCAGTGATTCTAGATCAATAAAGATAGACATTTTCTTGAGGTGTTCCCATGTAAGTATTAGGAAAGGAGAACAGTAAAGGGAGTCAAGGGTATTTGCAAGTGAGTAATTACAGTGCTGGGCCATGGAATATAAATTGCATCACCAGAGATAAAACATGAAGAAAATGAGCAATAGCAAAATTGTGGTAGTCAGTGGGTTGGACATCTCAGGTTGAAAAATTGCCAGAATGAGAATACTAGTTAGAGGGGATCAAAGCACAGAAGGTTATGTTTAGATAAGAAAAAAATGAAACTAGAGATTTTGTCAATGACTGTAAATGAAAATGACTGTGACACTTGAGTGTGTGAAATGGGGTGGAAGAACAGATCATTAAGAGTGAGGCAGCCCAGACTGGGAGGCTAAACTATTGGGTGGATCGTCCATGTTGGGAGTCACTAAAGAGAGTAATAGACATTGGGTAGGAAGGCAGACAGGTGGTTGTTACAACCATCATTAAATGGGAAATTGTTAGATTCAGAAAATGATAAAGTTTGGTGACTTGAATGTCTTTTTTTATAGGTGCTTCATCCTTCTAATGTAAAGCAATTGTGCCAATATTTTGTTTACCCAAATAAGCACTGTCCTCTCACTTAGATCCAGTGTGGTTCCAACATGCTGCTACAGCTTTGCTCTTGCCTCACCATCTTGTTCTCTGTGCTGCAGCCAAAGTATGCTTTATCATTTCATGTCCAGTATTTTTGGAACATTCTCTGACTCTATTCTCTTCTTCCTAGCTTTTCCACTAGCCTACGCATATTATATTCATTTTTTCATGATTTCACTGTTTTTCTTGAAGAGTTTTCTTCAACTCCTTAGTTTATGTGACATTTCATTTCTTTGTGCGCCTTCCACTTCTCTCTTGGCACTTTTCTTTTGAGTTATAGTCATCTGCATGTCTTGCCTTTCTTCATGGACTCCAAGTACCTTAAACATAAAAATTGTGTTTTATTAATCAGCCTCGTGTACTACTTTTTTACATAATATATTTGCTCAATTGAAAATGAGTTATACATCTTTTTGTTTTCTGGAGGATTTTTTTTTTTTGATATTTCAACCAAATAAAATAAATTTTTATTTGTTCCTGGAAGAACAATAAGGATTCAAATCTTAAAGTCAACTATCTCTACTTTTATAATGCTTGTTTTAGCTTAAATCTTATATTTTTGATTTATTTCATGACATACTTTAATGAGTTTAGCTTGGTGTTGTCACAGTGTATTCATGTAATAACAGTATTAAAATATAATAAAAACTTGATGAGGGGGTCCCTAAATTAGACTACTAGGAATAATAGAAAGTATTACTTTGATACCTTGTTTTCAAAGTTTAGGTAGGAGATTATTTGATACAAAAGCGTTTTTATCCAACTAGTGAATTAATATAATTATGAAACAAAATCTCAGACTCACCTACCTATTCCTTTGGTAAAAGTCCTTTTTCATGCCTTTTTACAAGAGAGAAGGAACTGATGTGATGGAGGGCATGGAAGGGGGAGAAGTGGGACACCCGGTATGGTGTCAGAGAAGATGTAGTAATCAGTGTTGTTTTCTATGTGTCATATACTTTGAGTTATATATAACTATACATATTTATAGTATATGCAAATATATTTACGGTATACATGCATGTATAAGATTAACATGCATATTATATTCATATGTATGTATACATATATATGGTGTATATATATGGTATGTGGATATACCGTATCTACTTAAGTAAAATTTTGAAACTGGGCAAAACAATATTATTGGTTAGGATGCTTATGTTTTGGAAGAACTATTTAAAAAGGTAAGGGAATGGTTAATAGAAAAGTCAGGTGGTTTCTCTTAAGTAAGGAGAAGGAGTAGGGCTAGTGGCAATTAGCCACTTTTATTTGCCAAATAAAAGCTGGCAATTTTATTTTTGAACGTTTCTGTTGAATTTTAGCCTGTAAAGAAAAAATTCTTTCTCATCTTAGTATTTCTTGCATATATACATAATAGAGGCATCGGTCTGTAGAAAGTTGTGTGTGACAGAAAATTTGCTCTACAGATTAAATTTTTACTTGTCTGTCTTTTCTATCATGGTTAATTCATTTTAACTTAATACTTTAGAATAACAATGGCATGATGTATAGTAGAAAATCCTATTTTATAAATACAATCAGTGTGAACTTTTTACCAAGACCTTTTTAATAAAAATTTGTACATGAAAACTTAAATATTTTATCTATGTGTACACCTACCTACATGCCAATGTACGTACGAGGGGGGACCCAAAAAAACCCATTGGAGTACACCTATTAAGATGTTTTTTTCCATTGCTCAAAACACTTTTTGAACTTGTGGATTTGATTTTGATGCCTTTCTGCTGTTTTTTGTTTCACCTCTTCCCCATCAGCATAACATCCTCTTTGAGGACTCCTTTTTGTACGGGGAAACACAAAAAAAGTCATTTGGGTTGAGATCATGTGGGTAAGGAGGGGGGGAATGAGGTTGTGCTGTTTTTGGTCAGAAACTGGTGACCTCAGTGCATTGTGGCCAGTGTGCTCTTAAATCACCCAGCATGAAATGGTTAAACACATAGAGTCTCCAAAAAAAAATTCACTGAAGCAGAACGCAGCCTCTCACAACAACACCAACAACAATACAGATACAGATGGGTTCCTAGAATACTCATCTAGTGGGGGAAGCCTGTGTTACTACAGGGGGCCCGCCCTCCAGAAGATAATTTGGGTTTTTTGGGGGTCTCCCTTGAACACACATACATATATATATATATATATATATATATATATATATACGCACACACACACACACATACTTAATAAATCAAAAATACATGTGAAATCCTTAGAAGTTGTAAGTTAATTTTATAACCTCCATTCAGTATAATTTTCAAACTTCCAAAGGAAAATTTTTTAAATTAGGAATCTCTACATTTTGATCATTCAGAATTTTTTGTCTCATTTTATTCCATCTAAAGTGTCATTTAAAATGTGTGATTAATTTCTTTCTGTGAAATAATTACTTTAGTTAAAAAATGAGGTTTTGAAAATGTCATAAGTATTTTCTTTTTGAAACTCTGAACCTTTAACTTTATATTTATATTTTAAAAATTTTAGTACCTATATATAGAATGTTTTCTTTATATTCAGGGTATACAAAATCTCTCCAAGTAATGAAAAATATATTTGTTTTGTTAAATAAAGTTTCCAAAATGTTTATCTGACAAAAAGTAATTGTGGTATTTCCAAATAAATATTTCTATTTCGTCTAGCCATATATAGATGTCAATATTAGATATAATCAATATACTAGTACACTGTAAAATTTTTTCAGTGTAGTGAGTTTTATGAACTTGAGTTTTCATTTTTGAATACATTGGAAAATATCATTAATACCACTTACTAATTACTGTTTTTCAATAAATTGCAGCTAAACATTTATCATTTTGGCGTTTAAAGTATGTCATCATGGCAAAGTTTCGAAGAAGGACTTGCATCATTTTGTCACTTTTTATTCTATTTATTTTTTCTGTGATGATGGGTTTAAAAATGCTGAGACCAAATAAAGCTGCTTTTGGAGTTCCTTTTGGACTTGACCTTCTTCCAGAAGTTCATCAACGACCTCCTCGCTTGGGGAAAATTTTTGATTCCCAAATGAGTGACAAAATCAACAGTGAAACAAATACCAAGAATTTAAAAAGAGTTGAAATCACTGTGAAACCTTCCAAAGCCTCTGAACCTTACGTGGAAGATCTGCCGCCTCTGAATTATTATTTACATGTATTTTATTACAGTTGGTATGGAAATCCACAATTTGATGGTAAATACATACACTGGAACCATTCAGTTCTGAAGCATTGGGACCCTAGAATAAACAAGAATAACCCACAAGGGAAACACAATCCCCCAGATGACATTGGCTCCAGCTTTTACCCTGAGTTAGGGACTTACAGCTCTCGGGATCCTGCTGTCATCGAGACTCACATGAAGCAAATATACTCAGCTTCAATTGGTAATTATTTTATTTTGTATGTATGTGTTTGGGGGAGGACTGTGCATGTAAGATATATAATTTTAATATCCATGTTATTAATTATAAATAAATTTATAAACTCCAAATTAAACTGTATATATGTTCTTAAACATACAGGAAATCGCCTTTTAACACTACCTTAAAGCATTTTTAATTTTAAAATTTTGTGGGACTTCTGAATATATTGTTTTTATTGATTTCTAATTTATTACTTTTTCGAATCTTATTAGATTTTGATTTACATAAGAGACAATGAATTGTCTCACTTTCAGTGTACAGCTCAGTGATGTTTTTCAAAAATATATACCTGATTAAATACCACCCAGTTGTGAAGTAAAATACTCTATAGCCCACCAGATTTTGCTTCCCTTATTCAGCCCTACTCTTCACTCCAGGAGACTGAATCTGATTTCTGTCACTGTAGAGAAGTTGTAAATATTCTGTTACTACATAAAAATTGAATTATTCATCATTTCTGTGTATGTGTGTATGTGGTCTTTTGCCAAACCTGCTATTTTGAAATTTACACAGGTTGATTATATCATTAATTCATTCTTTATTACTGCTGAATAGTATTCTATTATAATAATTATAATAATTTTTTTCCGCATTCATCTTGGTGGACATTTGAGCTGTTTAAAATTTTAGGTATATAGTAATAATTTGCTCCTGTTTTTCTGATTTTTTTAAACAATGCTCATTTATATTTAGGTCTGGTTGATTTCAAATGTGTTTTCATGTTGCTCTTTGTTTTCTGTTTATCCCATCTGTTCTGTTCCTTTCCCCCCTCTCTCCGCCTTCTCTTATATTGAATATATTTATTCCATTTTATATTCTCTTCTGGCTTATTACATATATTTGTTCATTTTATTTATCTTATGATTGCTCTAAAGTTCACAATATGCACATTTAATTTAATGGATGAGAAATCACTGGTATTCTTTTTTATTAGTATCCCCCCTTTTCTTCAACTTTTCTTCCCCTCAACTTCTGGCTCTAAAGTTATACCTACTCAGATAGAGTCATATTACCTCACTAGTAAATACATGAAAAAAATTGTATTGGGTGCCTGAAAATTCTTCAGGTCATTAAAATATCTTTTACAAAAACCTCCCTGTTTTGGTTCCATTTGCCTTTTAAGTGTCCCTACCATGAGGGCCATTCAGAAGCAATTGGGTGTTGTCACATTTTTCTAGTTCTACAAAAGGCACAAACTCACTATCAAGCTGGTAAGTTTATAGAGATATGTAAGACTTTTCCATGAACAAAGCAATACAGAATTTTGTGAATCTACATTGTAACTGTGCAAGATGGCTTGTTTTTCTTGCAGAATATTTTTTTCCCAGCTATTTAAAACAAATCTAAGTTTCTAGTGTATAGTTACAGCTCTAGTTTCTATTTTCTATGACATAAAATATGACAAAATTGGATTGGTAAACTCAGGTAACAGGTGCTTCATGCATATGTTATCTATATCTATTTACAATTTGCTTTTGGGAGTAAGACCTTTCAAATGATTTTTTTCTATTTTCTACAAAGAATTTGCATTACATTCAATTCTTTTTTTCAAGGTTGACTTGTTTGTGGCTATGAAAGCTATTCTTGATTGACAGAAAAAAAATGGATATTCATGCTAGTTTTAGTTTTCTTAACGCTAACTGAACTGTGTACAATGAGGAGTTTTTCCCCTTAGATCAGAGGTATAACTGTGTGTGTATATACATATGTGTGTACACTCACACACATATACAGTATTATGTATACATATAACTATATATAATATGCAAGCAATATATAAATGGCATACCGCATGTTATGATTAAGAAGAAAGTTTCAATTCATATTTAGTTTTATGCCTATATAATATTTATAAAAATCTTTCCCTTTATAAATTATTTACTACTACATACTATGTGTGGAGATGAATTATTTCAAAACATTATCACCCAATACAATTATTTTAATATTAAATGCTTTGTTATTGATGGAAATATTTCTTTGGTAGATTTTCTGCTGTAGAAATATTTTAAAAACTTGATAATAAAGAAAAGTAACATTATAATACATCAGTAAATAAATAATTTCCTTATTAAATATTAAATTATACTCATTGTTTTATTGAGATATAATTGTATTTAACATTATATAAGTTAAAGTGTGTAGCAGATTGACTTGATATATTTATATTTCAATATGATTGCCCTTGTTTGCATTAGTTAAATCCTCTATCACATTACATAATTATTGTTTATTCTATTGGTGGGAACAATTAAGATCTAGTCTGTTGGCAAGTTTAATGTTTACAATAGTTTTGTTTATTGGCACTATGTGTTAGATCTCTAGGTTGTGTTACATACTAGTTGCAAGTATGTATCTTAAACAACATATCTCCCATTTCCCTACCTACCAACTGCTAGTAACCACCATTCTACTCTCTTTGGAGTTGTTTTTTTTCCCTCTCCTGGCTCAATAATATCCCATTGAGTATGTTTATATACCAACATCTTTATCCATTCACTCACTGATGGACACTTAGATTGTTTTCATGTCTTGGCTGTTGTAAGTAATGCTAAAGTAAACATGGGAGTCATATATCTTTTTGATAACCTGTTTTCATTTACTTTGTATATATACCCAGAAGTAAGAATGCTGTGTCATATGATAGTTCTATTTTTATTTACATTTTTAAAGATATTTATTTATTTATAGAGAGAGGGGAAGGGAAGAAGAAAGCGAGGGAGAGAAACATCAGTGTGTGGTTGCCTCTTGCACACCCCCAACTGGGGATGTGGCCTGCAACCCAGGCATGTGCCCTGACAGGGAATTGAACTGGTGCCCCTTTGGTTCACAGGCTGAGCCACACCAGAAAAGGCTAATAGTTCTGTTTTTAATTTTTTGAGAAATCTCTTTACTGTTCTCATAGTGGTTAAACCAGTTTACATTCCCCCAAAGAGTGCACAAGCATTCCTTTTTCTCCATATTTTTGCCAATAATTGTTGTCACCTGTGATCTTGACTATAGCTATTGTTAATGGGTATGAAATGGTATTAATTGTGGTTTGGATTTTTGTATTTTCTGTGATGATTAGTTACTTTGAGCACCTTTTCAAGTACTTGTTGGCCATTTGCATGTCTTTGGAAAGATGTCTCTTTAGTTCCTCTACCCTCTCCCCTTTAAAGAAAATTTTCATATTAACCCCTTATTCATTACATGGTTTGCAAATGATTTCTCCTAGTCTATAGGTACTTTTTTATTTTGTTAATTTTTGCTTTTTTAGTGTAGAAGCTTTTAACTTTGATGTAGTCCCAGTTGTTGAATTTTTCTTTCATTATTTGTGGTTTGGGTATTATATCCAAAAAAGTCATCACCAAGACCAATGTCAGGGATTTTTATGTCTATGTTTTCTTTAGGAGTTTTATGGTTTCAGGTTTTAAATTTAAGTCTTTGATTCATTTTGAGGTGATTTTTGTGAGTGATCTAAGATAGGGGTACTTTTTTTTTTTTTGGCATGTGTTTATCCAGCTGAAGAGACTATTCTTTCCCCATTGGATGTTTATCCGCATTGGATGTTAGTTTAGTGTGTATGTGGGGGTTTAATTCTGGGCGCTCTATTCTGTTCCATTGGTGTGTGCCTATTTTTATGCCAGTACCATACTGTTTTAATTACTACAGCTTTAAAGTATTGTTTGAATGTGGGAAGTATGATGCTTCCAGTTTTATTTTTATTTTTTCATCACTGTACCTTTAAATATTGGGAGTCTCTTGTGGTTTCATACAGTTTTGAAGATCTTTTTTTTTTTAATGCTGTTGGATTTTCATAAGGATTGTACTAACTTTATAGATGGCTTTGACATGGACATTTTAACAATATTAATGCTTTCAATCCAATGATGGAAAATACCCATCAGATATCATTCCATTTGTTTGTGTCGTCTTTTCTTTCAGCATCCTTACAGTTTTTATATTACAGATCTTTTGCTTTCTCGATTAAATTTATTCCTAGGTATTTTATTGTTTTTGATCCTGTTGTGAGTGGGATAGTCTTTCATGTTTTATTTTCTATGTAAAAATGCAACTGCTCTCCATGTATTTGGCATTATATCCCACAACTTGACTGTATTCATTGATTAGATCCAACTGGTTTTTGGGTCTTTGGGATTTTCAATACATAGGATCATATTACCTGCCAATAGTGATAGTTTACTTCTTCCTCTCGTGTTTGGATGTTTTTTCTTTGATTTGCTTCATTGTCCTAGGTGGGACTCCCATACCAGGCATACTCGTGTTATTCCTAATTTTAGAGGAAAGGCTTCCAGTTATTCTTCATTGAGTGCGCTGTTAGCTGTGGGTTTGTCATATATTGCCTTTTGAATGTTCAGGTTATATTCTTTCTGTACCCAGCCTATTGAGGGTTTTTTTTTTTTTAAGATTTTATTTATTTATTTTTAGAGAGGGAAGGGAGGGAGAAAGAGAGAAACATCAATGTGCGGTTGCTGGGGGTCATGGCCTGCAACCCAGGCATGTACCCTGACTGGGAATCGAACCTGCGATGCTTTGGTTCTCAGCCCGCGCTCAATCCACTGAGCTATGCCAGCCAGGGCTGAGGGGTTTTTTTTATTCTGAAAGAATGTTGTATTTTTTCAAATATTTTTTCTGCATCTTTTGAAGATGGTGTGATTTTTATCTTTCACTTTATTAATGTGGTTTATTACATTTATTGAATTGCATGTATTGAACTATCCTTGAATACCAGGGATAAATCCCTCTTGGTTATGATGCATAATCCTTTTAGTAAGTTCTGAAATCAATTTGCTAATATTTTGTTGAGAATTTTCGCAATTATGTTCATCAGAGATATTGGTCTGTAGTTTTCTATGGTTCTTATCCGGCTTTGATCAAGGTAATGCCGGCTTCATGCAATGAATTTAAAAGTGCTTCCGCCTGTGGAATCACCTGGTCATGAGGATTTCTGTTATCAG